CTTCTTTTTATGATGCCCTTATTCATAGAACTCTTACAGACTGTATGTACCTACCTACTATGATAGTATTTTCAGAAAGCGTGCAAAACTTTTTATTTAAAAATGCGACTTATTCGAAAATCCTAATTAGAATAACTTCGTAATTAAAATTTTAAAAGTCAACCACGCTTTTTCGTTTCTCCAAATCATACGCAGAATTTATTTACCGTGGCGGGGCACTTTCGCAACGAATTTCGCACCATGCAAAAACGTTATATAAATGAGTAGGCCGCTGCTCTGGGGAAAACTACGAACAATTGCGACAGGAGATTACGATTGTAATTTCAATTCTCAGTCTTTTTTTAGGCTGACATAATGGCTTAGCGCCCTTTTGCAAGATGGAGAGACGTTTGCTACGTGAATTAATTAATAATTGACTGGGATTGCTTCTTCAGAAAAACACCTGAGATTCGAACTTTTGTGGATAATAGTGTATGAAGTCGATGTTTTTCTTTTAGCGTGATGATGAGGTCAATCAAAATAGCTAAGTCTCATGGACTTCCACACACAACCAGTCAGAGCAAAGGTGTTTTAAAATTTAAGCAAACAATTGTCAGTAATTTCAATTTTAGATTTCCAAATACAGTGAAACTTATCAAAGAGAAAACCAACAAAACTGTTATACCGTCCCCCAAATAATGAACATAATATTTTGGTCTTCCGTACAACAAACCACCAAAGCTAGCACGTGTACACAAAAATACTCCGACAAAAACGAATGAAAATAGGTTCGGCAAATATTATGTCATAGCAAATTGATCAAACATACCTATTCCGTGATTTTCGAGGCGGATTATGTTTGTAGTACGTAGGTATTATTACAGATTACGCAATAAAAACATTTCTTTCGACCCATGCTGGGAAAAATGATTTTGTCCTATTGATCAGGGACACAGCAGGAATTATGCGGAATAAATATGCAAAGATTATGCGTGCTCGAATTTTCAGGCTTATTCACGAGAGATTCTGGTGATTCAGAAATGATACATGAGCCTACCTGTGAGTTAAAAGACGTGTCATGATAGCGCCGTGTGTGCAAGATTGCCCAACTTTTTGCAATACCATTATTGTAAAGCATTTCCAGCTATCGTGTGAGAGTGAGGACAATTCCTCCATTTGCCTCCGGTTAATTGGAGAGGGTCGTGAACCTGCAGTGGAGGTTAAATGATTCAATGATGATGAAAACATTTCACCCGTGTCAAAAAAGATCGCCCTTATCCAACTGATAGTGGGCGAACTTAACACCACGTCAGCTTAATGTCGGCGCTGACACGTACGCAGTGATATCGCGTGTAGGTACAGCGTAATTCAACATTGATAACGTCATGTTGACCTGGCAAATACCTCAATGCGGTGTCACTGACACCAGCCCAAATTGTTTAGCTGGCTAATTGGCAATTTATTTGCAAAGCTCACGTTTACACGTAATGCGCGCCGAATATTACGGACTTTGGACATTTTTCAGCAATCACATAGCAGACGCGCAAATTCTTTTAGATTTTAAATAACTGAAGAGGCTTATCAGATAGTTGTTTACGTTTAAGGGCTGGAAAAACGTCGCTACTGTCACTTAATCGCAGGATTGAAAAGGCCGCCACGAAATCACCATTAAACCAGCACCAATGCTAAAATATGTTTGCTTGCCCTAAATGCTAATTAAATTCCGATCAATAGAAAGAGAGATAATGAATGGAACGGTAGAAGCAAGATGGAATTGCCTGTTACCTTTCCTGATAACTGATTGGGGCTATTTCAGATAATATAACAGAAAGACATATTATCAAGGTAAATAATACTGTTGAAACTTCTTTGTAATAGGTGCAATTTTACAATAAAAATGAGTAGCTCAATGTTACACAGCGTGCTATGGAAAAGGCTATGCTCGGTGTTTCTTTACGAGATCGAATCAAAAATAAGGAGATCCGCAAAACGAACTAAAGTCGCTGACATAGCCCGACGGATTAGCAAGTTGAAATGGCAATGAGCAGGGCACATAGTACTCCCGATGGGGAAGCAAAGTTCTGGAGTGGAGGTCGCATAACGGAAAACGCAGCGTGGGTCGTCCACCCACAAGGTGGGCCGACGACATCATAAAGGTAGCAGTAAGGCGCTGGACGCAGGCCGCTACCAATCGGGCAGTATTGAAAGCATTGGGGGAGGCCTATGTTCAGCAGTGGACGTCCTATGGCTGAGATGATGATGATATGAAAAATCAACAGTTGCTGGCATAAATTCGAATCATTACAATGGAGACCACAAATAGCTAGCTATGCTAATGACAGGTATTCAGGTAATATTGGTCATGGTGAATATAATGCAATATTATTTGAGAGAATTATATGAATAAAATATTATCTGTAAATGTGGCTGGTCTGATGATAAGCAGTTATTGATAGATTAACTTGACAATAGATATTTCATTAGTCATATTCTACAGAATAATGTCCAACTTGTTTCAATATTTCATGTTGGTAAATGGTAACATGACAAATTCACATTAGACATTTGTTATGATTATTTCATGTTTTATTTATGAATATTAATAGATAATCTCTTCAATGAATAAAAGATAGGTTACACAGTACTTGAGTTTTTTATAGTTACTACCTACAGTTTGTTTTTCTAAAACTGTAACGACATCAGAACTGTACTAATAAATGTGGCTAATCGTTTCATTTTGTAGTTCCTTGAAACTTAATTGGACAGAAATATTTAATAACTTCTCTGTATTGTTTACAAAATAGCAGACATTCATTCGACAGCAGAAACTGCCAGAACCATGTTGCAAGTGAAGTTTTGCAAACACATCAAAGTGTTACATTTGATATGTTTGCAGTTAACAACGGATCAGCTTTCTATAATACAAGAGAACAGGATATGCCTAGCTAATTTATTATTACAAAAATGTATGGCACATTGAGAAACATAGTGCAATAATTATTTTGGACTATTAGCATATTTCGATCATTCTGTATCGTTAAAATAAATATGCTGGAGCCTGGACAAATTTTATATGTTGAATTTTGTGTTGAATGGAAGACTAATGATTTGAATATTTAAATACTCTTGAAATGTTTTATTATGATTGAAGGAAAATTGGTTTTTCTGAGGAAACTGAAGACAACTCTTTTAGTCAATTTATAGACATTTAGTACATAATACATAATTCCGTCATCAACATTATGGAAATATTCATTGGAATAAGATTATATTATCTTTTTATAAAAAATAAGATGAAAATACAGAGTAAGTTTTATTTTAGATGTTAAAATTAGAGATGAAACGGATAGTTGTTTGGCCGGATACCGGATACCGGATATCCGGCGAGCTGCTAGGCCGGATAGCCGGATATCCGGCGGCCGGATAGTTGTCCCATTGTCATGTTGCATGTCGTAACGAGTTTAGCGCCGCACAGGTGCTTCAAACGCGATCAGTGGGTCTAGTAGACTAGACAAGTCACACTTTTCGAAAATCGAATCTGTTCGAATAGAATGTCAGATTTTGCCACTCGTCTAAGGGGCAGATCAATTCGGGCGATTTCGGTTGCCATCGTGAGTATGTGATTGAATAGCGAAAATTCAATTAGTTTACTTGCTGCGTAATCTGACTGAACTGCATTATATACAGGGTAACTTTGAAATCGTTGGCATTCTTTTTAAAATAAGACTACTCACGATTCCCCAAATATGAGTCGTATCAAATTAATTAAACTTTCAATATTTGAAATCTTGTACAGACGACAGCACATAATGTATTAAGTGTTAATTTGCAACAAAATGTATAGGATGATGTGCTGTTGACTGTACAATAGTTTTAAACTCTTTTTAAGAGCACACTAATACAAATACATAGTTTATTTTATTTATCAGGACAACTAAAAAGACAAACACGCATACATGGAATTACTATAACTAGAAGTGCTTAGAACTAAGAAGTTAAAATAATGACAAAAAATCTCATTGGATTTGTCTCATATTTGGGGAATGCACTATGTACCTATTATGAGTAGTCTTATATTAAAAGGATGCCAACGATTTCAAAGTCACCCTGTATGTCATCAGACCATCAGTGAAAAAAAGATCGCCTATTTTATTTGGCAATATTTCGACATTAAAATATATTTACTATTTATTTATGTATTCGTCATTAGAGTGGATAGCCCAGAAAGGAAATTAGTTTTTTGTAAGGCCTTAAATATGGCTTTTTTGTAACTTTTTGGACTTTAGATAAAAACCGTCATTATTATAAGCAATTTTATTGATATTTAACTCAAAGATTAATGTGTTTCATTTTATTATAGGAAATTTTCGTAGTTTTTTAATATCCGGTATCCGGCCGGATAGTGAGCTACTATCCGGTATCCGGCCGGATAGTAAATTTAGGCCGGATATCCGGCCTACCGGATAGTTGCCGGATATCCGTTTCATCTCTAGTTAAAATTTCCTTTTAGAAGATATTGTTAGATTTTAAATTTCAGTCTTATGAAGGTTTATAAAACTTACAGAAAAAGTATTGTTTCCAGCTGGTGGCTTCAAAAACACATACTTTAATTTTCGGATTTCTAGACCCTAGTAATGTCAACAAACCCTGCTAAACCATAATTTAATCTCTTTTAGACCTCAAAATGTGTCGTTTACTACAGAGCTCTGAACCGTTTTCCTTGTACAAGCGTAATACAACAGAAATATGCCTTCCGACTTAGAATAAAACACACAATGATGATTTTATCTTTTGAAACCGGGTTACAGAACAAAGTTGCCTACCAAACTCCGACATTAAGGCGCGTGAGAAGCGAACAGCTGCTTCCGTCAGTCCTGACCGGCTTGCCGGCGCCTGCCTGGCAGAACCACGCCACTTAAACCCCAATATAGTCAAATAGGTTACCACGAATGACGGACGAATTTTCCGTAACATAAAACCCTAAAATTCAGGCATACGAACACAGAAAAAATTGTACTCACGTTATAAAACAGGTATCATCCAACAACAGCGCTCATTGCGATCCAAATAGAGCTATCACTGCATAAATAATCACAATTCAACACTGAACATTTTCTATGGCATCCAACGCAATATTGCACAAATGACCCTTTTAACATCGATATCTCATAACAAATTGCACGGAAACATATAGAATACACAAACACAAAAACTAGGATAATATTTATAAAGTTATTATCACAATATAAATGGAATATCACACAAACGGATATCACTTTTCTAGATGTCCTTGCATTCACATAAATTGGTAGCCATCTTGCGTTCGTCCGAGCTAACAAAAAAGGTTGCCAACACTAAAAATTAATTTACCCCATTTAGTGGAGAACCAAAATGGGTAAACTAAATCTATAAAAAATGTTACATTTTGGAAATTATTGTTATGTTCAGGCTTAGTAGATTTGAAATGTTTTGAATATTTATTGTTCAATAAATACTTTACCTAGGCAGTGTATGTAATTCCTAGGTATTGTATAGAATACCAGCTGGCCCACTAGCAATGTGTAAAGTGAACAGATTTTGGACTGTATTGATCATTACTATTTATTTTGTACTAATCTAAAATGTAAAGTCATTTCATTTATTTATGTTTTGTTACTAAATAATAATTCGCGATCGCGGTCATTTTAAAAATTGAAATATCACTTTTTACTTTAGTTCAGAGTTTCAGACTATGCTTTTAAACAACTTAACAAAGTATTTTGTAGTTTGTCAGCCGTTTGGTGTAGTGGTTCGAAACGGACTACTATTCCGGAGGTAGCGGGTTTGATTCCCGCACAGTACACACATTTGTGTGCATAAACATATTTGTTTGTATTGGACTGGGTGTTTTCTATGTATAATAAGTATGTATTTACAAAAAAAAGTATTTAAGTATGTTTATATCCGTTGTCTAGTACCCATAGTACAAGCTTTGCTTAGTTTGGGACTAGAAGCGCAGTGTAAAATGTCCAAGGATATTTATTTATTTATTATTTATCTACTTACATGAACGATCAGGCATAATAACCAAATAATTAACCATTTTGCGAAGCCAGTAAAATTCGGTTTCCCTTTGTTTTTACAATATAATTTAAAGTAAAGCAATAGTTCTATTACTAGCTTCTGAAGCTGTGAAATAACAACATAGTCAAATAAATAAATATTTTATAATAAAACTTATATTTTATACTTCACCAAAACTATAAAACTTTTGCACGAAAATGTATTCCATGTAAAAGTAAAAAAAACTATAAATTGTTTTTGATGCAGATAAATTAATGAGCCATTTAAATTTCAAATAGGATTTCATTATAGTAAAGAAATACCAGAAAAAAACTAGATATCCTACTAACAAAACTATAAAATACATAAGTGATAGTGTGACAGTAATAGTGCGCCCAGATTGGGCGCACGGGCTCGGGCGACACGCTGGTCATAGTGGTCATCCTGCTCACCCTGCTCTTGAGTGAGCAGGATGTTGAGTTTGCCGCGCGAGCCCGTTCGCCCAGTCTGGGTGCACCATAACAACATCACTCATTATTTATTATGGATAATGGAAGAATTTCCACAAAAATTAGGTGAACTCATATTGCTGGCAACATTTTCAAGCATAGACAATGTCAGTTGATTTTTTTTTTCTTAAAAATAGGGAGAGACCAAAGTACAGTAAAATATACAGCTAAGAGTTATAAATTTGTATTTTCGACATTTTATTTAAAATTAAATCACTTTGGGGTTTATTTTACTAACAAAAAATACCTAACTAACCCACAAAATATCGACCACCAAAATGCGTACTAGGTTTTATGTGAATAAAATTTTGGCACTTATAATTAAATAACCCTCTTCTGGCGCAGTCGGGTAAAAAAGTCTTCCATCTATAAAAATGAAACCCGTTTTCCGTTGTCACGACATAACATGAAAACGGCTTGACCGATTTGGCTGATTTTTTTTTGTAGTTTTCTAATACTCTGTACAAGGTTTTTACGGAAAAAAAATATAAAGAAAATCTCTACGCTAAGGCGGTACGAAGTTCGCCGGGTCAGCTAGTTTACAATAAATGATCAATCTTACAAAATCCGTCTTTTCTCCCTATATTTCTTTTGCTTGCTTCTTTTGATTGGAATAGAGAAAGGGGGAGAAGTACATACTTATCTTTCTATAGTATGTAGGTAAAAGTATTTCTTTTTTGTATGGTAATATCATTATTGGAATAGATAAGGCAAATTGTGTCGTACTACAGTACGAGTAGTACGTACCATACATACATATTATTTAAGTTTCATATTATGCCACAAAAACACTGCTAGCTTATATTCTTAACACGTACCTACACAATGAGCAATAACTATTCAAGATTAACTCAGATCAACTGTTTGATGATGTCGCTATACTAGGTTCTTTGGACAGAGTGTGACCATACATAGTCATACAATATTATGAAACATGTTGAACACCAGTAGGTACTTTTATTATTTAAGTATTTTCACAATAATTTGTTTTAAGACGAAACTTTATTTACCTATTTACGTCATAAGACAAGCAAGGAATAAATAAATAGGATAGGATTGGATAGGATAGGTAAATCTAATTTTCATCCTTAAATAAAACAACAAAATAAATTACGTAACCTTTTTTATTATCTTTTCACGTTTTTCTCTCTCTTAATTTTACGTTAATTTTAATTGACATCTTACAGACCACAGGTCTTACAATTATATCTTAAATAAAAATACCACAACGTTAAAGAAAAATAAAGAACGAAATTTTTAAAGTACGCTCAGGTAAAGGCAAGAAAAAAGAAAATGCACAATTTGCTTACAAACAATATACGAGGGTAGTTTTAGAAATCGTTAGAAAAACCATTTATCATCTCAAATTAACTTACACATCGCCTTCTAAAACGAAGGAATTCTTACTTATTATTATGGTACTTTAATGTTTTTTCATATTTCAACTTGCAAAAAGGCAGTAGACAAGTGATTACGTTAATCTAAAGTTAGATAAGTACCAATTGCAACTCTCTCATCAACACGTTGGAATGCAAAAAAAAGTTACATAAAGGATATCCCAATTACATATAAAGAAAAAATGCACGATTTATTATTAAGTCAAGTGTTTCTGACTAGACAATCACACACACATCAATAAGGCCACTGATCCCTAAAATGGGTCCGATTTAAAATTGGAACGCCATTGCGCGGGAAAGTCTTGTGAAATGTCATCGAGCATTCTGTCACAGATTAGGTAGCACTCGACATAGACAAGTTTTCTGACACAATCACCCATCCTGGCAACTTGCCGCTTGGCGTTCACACACAAAGTCAGGTTGATCGGTCGTCGATTGGAGCCGCGAGTCGAGCCCGGGTCGCTCACTTGACGATGACGCCCGGGCTCCTCTGGTATTCCACGGGGAGGTAGATGTGCATCAGCTTCTCTATCTCACACCTGCACAGGGGGCACCGTTCGCATCTGTAACAGAGGAGAACATTGTTTAATTTAATGACTGCTTTAAGATACAACTATTGTATTTACTGCTTAATTTTGACTTATATTTCTTCAATAGGTAGGTGCTCGATTATAAAGATTCCCAAAAGTAGCTATAAAAAAATTAAGAAGAAGAAATTAACTTGAGATGGTTCTCAATGCTGATAAGGTACCTAGTGTACGTATACATATAGGTACAAGCAATGATATTATATAAAAACAAAAGCAGATAATGTTATAAGCGCTCGCGCTGTGAATACTCAAATACGTCCCAATTGGGACGTCTTGTGTTTAGTCTTCGTGTGGCCTGCGTCGTGCGCAATCGCGTGCGTACCACACCGTAAATTCCTGTTCTTACCAAAATAAATAAAAAATGCCATCGTTTGTGTTTCGAAAGTGTACCAATTACGACTCTAAAGTAAACAAAATACAAGGGATCTCTTACCACATGTGATTATGCAAAATTATTTAGTATTTATATTTTCAATTATTTATGCAAACAATCAAGACGCCATGCGCCATGTTCAAGTTAAGAAAGAGAAAGCGATTTTGTTTTGACGTTAGAGCGATAAGGATGCGTGCGCTGCGGACATAGATTAGTTAGTGCAGAATCGTTAAAACTATAGCTATCTCTTTCATTTGCGTGCTATTTCGTATCTTTTGTTTCACTTATCAGTTACATTTGTCAATGTGTGCAATTTGGAATAGCTCGGCACGGATTCAAATCGTAATTTCTATGAACGTAACATATCTATAGTTCTTTAATATCATTGGGTACAAGTCTTGGCGAACGCAGCGAAGGGCTAATGGCAGTTGGAAGAGAATAGCTGAGGATCGAACTCAGTGCGCTGCATTAGTTGGGGCATGCTTATATCCAGCTGTGAAATGGTAGCAATAATGATGATTATAGGTCAAAAACGCTCCACAACAAGAACAAACATTTGAAAGAAAGAAAGATAGAAAAATTATTTATTTGACAACTGCTTAAGTAATAAAAAAAAAGTACAATTGAATTTCAGCCACAGGTTGTCCACTGAACGTCCTTCCTTGAGGCCTATCAATTAAAAGAACAATGATATAAGGCAATATTTACCTCGGCGCGCACTCCTGGCAGCAGACAACATGGCGGCACGGCAGGAACAATGTGTCCATGGCGCTGTCCATGCACACACGGCACGCCAGCGCGTCGCCACCGCTGCGTGACCGAGACCGGGACTCCTGGGGGCAAAGAGGTAACGTTAGAACACGTTGGACACATTAAGGCCTCAGCCTCGAACTTAGCGGGCAGCGGGGCGGCGGCGGCGGCGGCGCGGGAGCGGCAGGATCTTATGCGTAAAATCAAATAGACCGGTTCTCGAAAACAGCGGCGCGGGAGCGGGCAACGAGCGGGCAGCGCATTCCTTCTTTTGCCCACAATAAATCGAGCGTTAGGAATAAATTTGAATCGAAATAAAATTGTCGCCGTTGTTCAGACATTTCGTTTGCGAATAAAAACAAATATCTCGACAACACAACACTTCGCCGCTAAAGCGCCGCGCGAGCTGCCCGCTTGTTTCGAGAACGGGTCTGCGTTGCCCGCCCCGCTCCCGCGCCTTAAATACCGGGGGCACAAAAATGAACAGCCTAATATTTAGTTGATGTACCTACTCTTATAGTAGAGTTAAGCAATGAATAGTGACTGAGTTTCTTGCGCTGCTTCTTCTCAGCACTGGCCCATTATTGTCCCGAAGCAGTGGTAGGGTTAATATTGGGACGTGTAAAAGTGCTTTTTAAAAGCCTATTTGCAAAAATAAATGAGTTTTATGAGTTTTTAGTTTTAGTTTTTGCTAAAATCAAGTGGCAGTGGGCGGGGCACATAGCTCGTAGAGACGATGGCCGTTGGGGCAGGAAAGTTCTCGAGTGGCGACCACGGGCTGGAAAACGTAGCGTGGGCAGGCCTCCTACTAGGACCGACGATCTGGTAAAGGTCGCGGGAAGAGCCTGGATGCGGGCAGCGCAGGACCGTTCATTGTGGAAAACCTTGGGGGAGGCCTTTGTCCAGCAGTGGACGTCATTTGGCTGAAACGAACGATGAGTTTTTAGAGGCAGTTCCATTCTTCCAGCAAGGCACTGCAATCGGAGATCTCTTCAGTACTCTTTGGAGGAGCCAGAAGAAGTGTACTAAGGAAATACTTAGGGAGGGGCTCCAGGTGGCAAAGAGGTAACATTATGACACGATGGATAGCAAAAACAAGCAGTGGGGCTCTTGGGGGCAAGGCGGTAATATGAGGACATTGAGGACATGTTGACTAAAGCAAATAACCTCAAAATACGGGTCACAGAGCACAATCAAGGTGTCACCTTGCAATGAAAATAGTGAAAACAAGGAGACCGGATATGTGCAAACACTCACACTGAAAGGGGAAGGACGCGGGTCATGAACAATCGTTGTTATTTTGTAGTTATAATTTATACAAAAATTTAAGCTGTGATTGCAACTGGAGTCTCTTGTTTTAACTTTATTTACGAGTATATTGTGCACCTAATTATCCGCTGCTGCGCCATTGTTTAGTAGTGGAAGCTTGAGGCAACCAAGTTTTGATCACGTGTTTTGAGGGTAGTTGTTACATTGCACTCGTCCCGAGCGTAGAAGCGCTTGCACGAGTGTTATGAGGGTAGTTTTGTGAGTGAACTGTACGAGGGTAGTTAGTTGCTCTCGTCCCGAGCGTAGAAGCGGTGGCGCGCGAGTTGTAAGGGTAGTTTTGTGAGTGAACTGTATGAGGAGTAGTCAGTTGCTCTCGTCTCAAGCATAAGGACGGCGCGCACGCGGCTCGTAATGCTAGCACAAAATGTGAGGGTAGTTATAATGAAGGTACTGTATGCTTACCATGAGTTTACGTTAGGTGTGCTCGCTAGCGACTGCGTAAAAAAATTACATTAAGTAATTGTATGACATATTGTGCAGCGCCCCTAGCGGCTACTTTCAAGAAACAAAATTTTCATAGAGATTTTTGACGTACTTGCTAGTGAGCACACCTAACGTTAACTCATGGTAGGTACACTGATGGTAGTTATTTACCTTGCTCTCGTCCCGTGCGTCAGGGCGGCGGCGCGCGCGCGGCTCGTGGTGCGTGCGCGCGTGCAACTCACGACGCGCGCGATCGTGCACCTCGCGGCACGTGCTGCGGATGTCGAACACGTAGCGGCGACCCAGCGTCGTCGCGTCGTTGAAGATCGACGCTATCGTGCCCTGGAAGAGACGATAGCGAATGTCAGTTAGTCTAGAACAGGAAAACGAACGAAAGAGGCCTCTTTTTTAACCTGGGAAAAAGATCTATGCATATTGCATACGCTTCATGCGGGTTAACTTGTTGGAAAATTACGTGGATGGAACATAAACCAACTAAGTAAACTTGGAATTTTCCCGACTTCCAAGCAGGGCCGGATTAACCATCTCGGGGCCCCTAGGCACAGCTCGTTTCGGGCCCCCCTTTTTTTGTCGCGGAGGAAATGCTTTGCGCACCGTCACCACTGCCGGGGGATAGGGTGGTATGTGGGACTCCCGACGCCCTAAAAAGAGCGCTGCTCCGTCCTGAAAAGAACGGGGTATACCCACTAAAACCTCCGCGGCGTTCCGTCATCGCCCAAGTGGGGGTGTCGCGAGTATCCGGCCGTAGCCTTAGACTTCAGCGACACCACCGGTGACAGCTCGCCTACACGGCGGACCCTACACGCCCCCCTTGTGAGGGTCCGACGGGAATGGCCCGACGCCAAGCCGTTCCCGTCAGACGAAGGTGACAAGGGTGCCCCCGCACCCCCAGCCTGCTGTTCGCCACCTAGGGGCAGAGTAGAACGGTCGTACAACCGCCTTCTCCACCCCCTTCTCCGCCTGCGGAGTGATGATGCGAGAGGATCGTTCTCCCGCTCGCGCTCCGCTGCCTTATCCTCCTCTTCGCAAAAGGAGGCCAACGCCATACAGCATCCTCCACTTCCCAACATGGCGTTGACCAGGGTCGGAAGCGAAAGATCCCGGCCCACGACCGCAGTGAGGACACGGCGCTGCTCCTCCCAGCCTGTGCAGACTGCGAGGGTGTGCTGCAGCGTGTCATCCGCCGCGCCGCATTTGTGGCACAGCGGGAATTGCTCTCTCCCGATCCTATGCAGGAACGAACCGTAGCAGCCATGCCTGGTCAGCACCTGCGTCAGACGGAACATAAGGAACCGGTGCGGTCGTTCCATCCAGTCTAATTGGTCCAGAACAGGACCAATGGCGTCCAGAGTTCGGCGGCCAAACTGCGCGCGAGTCATGTCTTCCTTCCAGCGGTCGATCATGATCTCGCGCTCTTCCTGCCTGACGGCGCCGCGCCCCTCTGGGGCCGGGCGCATTCCACGCGCCTTCTGGTCTGCCATCCGGTGATAGATGACACAAAAGACCCCAGCTTCTAGCTCCCAAGGAGGAGTACCAGCGAGGACGCACGCCACAGCGTGCCCTAACGTGCGGTAGGTCCTCGCGACTTTCTGCGCAATGGACCACTGGAGCCTGCATTCTCCCTCTTGTTGAGTGCGTCCGCCCAGATTGGGGTGCCATACAGCGCCATGCTCCCCAGAACGCCGGCATAAAGTCGACGACACCTCGTTTGTGGCCCTCCCAAATTCGGGAGGAGCCAACTCAGTGCGCCGGCTGCCTTGAGGAGGCGTGGCGCTAGCTGGTTGAGGTACGGGCTAAAATTCCACCTCCCGTCAAGCGTGAGGCCCAGATATTTCATCTGGCCTTTGACGTCAATCCTAACGTCCTCAACCACAATGTGGGCGCGCTGGCGAGGCCCCGGAAAGAAGAGGGCCTCAGTCTTCTCCAGCGCGACTTTCAGGCCGAGGCGTCGTATCTTGCGAGCGACTAATGTGCCGCCCGCCGACGGCAGCCGTGCCGCGGCCGAAATGTCTTCCCCCGGCCAGTGACCAGAGTGTCATCCGCATAGCATTTATGACACTCATGCCCGCGAGAAGGACGCCCCGGAGGAGCCAGTTGAAGCCTAGGTTCCACAAGAGTGGACCGAGCACCGAACCCTGCGGAACCCCGCTGGCTAGCCCGCGCCATTTGAACTGGTCGTCTCTGTTAACATACAGGACTTCGCGGTCCAGTAAGTAATCGGCCACCAGCGCTCGAAGGTACTGAGGCACTCTGTGATGTTGAAGTGCCTCGAGTATGGTGGAATAAGGGATGGTAATATGGTATTGAAAGCGTTGGCTATATCTAATGATATAGCCAATATAATATAATAATATACGAAAATGAACTAGGTTCCACAATATCGAAATATGACGATTGAATGTGTAAACCAAACAAAATAATGCGAAGTTTTGAGGTGGTTTGAGTTTTAAAAATATTTTATAACATTTTTTTCCATTTTTTAATCGGGAGTGCTGGGCCCCTGGTCATAGTGGGCCCCTAGGCACTGGCCTAAAGTGCCTTATGGATAATACGGCACTGCTTCCAAGTCCTAATTCCATCATTCTACTTCTATCGTGGTGCTAATAATGAAACTTGAAACTTCTTTGGACTTGAGGTGCCTTCCGGAGATTAAAATCTGTGGCTTTCATTTCAATAGGTTCGGGAGGACACCGTCAGTTTTTTGTAGGGGGATCCCCACCATTTCTACCCTAAGTTGCAGCTTATTGCAAGGATTTAAATCATTATTATCCTGTTTTATAGAAGTCATTAAGTCTTTGTTTACGAATATTATGAGTTACGCCCACTTTTCACCTTTATGCTATTAAAAAAAATTTACGTTAGGTAAAACATATTGTTGCAAAACAAAGAAAAACATTGTTATTGAAGGATGCAACAGAATACATTATCTATATTTGCACTTTTTGCCACTTTTTTATGTTGTTGTGCATTACCTTCGGTACTATACGTCGTTACCACAGAATCGTTTTTTTTACTATTAGCTACATTAACGTAATATAGAGGAGTACCTACCTACTCAAAAACTCATTAATATATCTCTAAGTCAGTCGTCTAGTTATAAATCTAAATTGGTTCCATCCACGTGATTAAAATAAACCACATAATCACCAACAATATTAGAGTTAACTGTTTGTAATATTTATTACAATGGCACTAACCATTCAGGCATCAGGCGCCATTTTGTCGTTGACTTAAAACTTCGGCTTTTATGATTTTAATGTTTTCTTGTTCTTTTATCTTTGTGAGGAGATATTAGTAAGTTTAGTGCGTCCTCCGAAAGGACGTTCAACTATTTAGAGATAAGTTGTACAATCACTTTGTTTTTTGTTTATCACAAATATTTAATTATTTGTCAAACACTTGTCTTGATGACTTTTTTCTAGAAATCTTTCAGCTATTCAGGTAGGTAAATGACAGTTTATTAACCCTGAATATGACTCCCTAATAAAATAAGTATTTTAGATCTATCACTCAAAATGCACGTTTTGCCATGTAAAGGGAAAAGAGTTTTCAAAATTCCCGCAAGTTCCCAATCAAATAAAATGTAGGGTAGTAACAAAAAATACACACCTTCAGATCCCTAATGAACTGTTCCGTGACATCGCTCCTGACAGTCTCGCAGCAGTAGAAGGCGTGTTTTTCCGTTACCGCCCGGTAGAGGGCGGCTGCTTGCCCGGAGGTGGCCATTTTGACGTTTAGCGTCGCCTCGTGGCCCTCAGCTGTCACGTATGACAGCTGGAAGATGCGCCGGAGTGGCTGCGCGCGGTTTATCACTGTGTACTTGATGCTGGAATAGATAGAAAAAGATTTTGTTAATATTTTAGAAGCGTTAAGAGGTGACTGAGAGAGAAAATACTAAATCAGGCCTCTATAAATGCCAGCGTAGAGTAAGCCAAAAATCATCCAACAAATGCAGGGAAATTTTGCCTCTGGTGGCTCTGGTACCTACATAAAAGAGAGTCGTGTTCTTTCAACAGAGACTATGATGATGAGAATATAGGTTCGACCAAACCAACGCGTGCAACCCATCGCTATCACGCGTTGGTTTGATCGAACCTTAACTCCGCAAAACGATGCTTTAAGTATTGTTGTAAAACTACTTTTGTTTATAATTTATTTTTAAACTGCGACAAAAAGCTGAATAATGCAAAAATGACAACCGTTATTGGCATTAACATAAAACACGCGTATAGTTTAAATTACATTGACCTTACACACTCTACTTAACAATGACTAACCGTCCACTAAGTATTAACTGACAATATTAACCTGGCTTTCTATTCTGTATTTAATGGTAATTTCTTTAAAAGCAATATTGTTAAAGAAATATCTGTCCTACAAATGATAATAGGCTTTAAAACAATTTGTATTCCTTTGTTTTACTGTTAGCCAATAACTTCGCATTTGGTAAAATTATAGTAAAGAAAATTGTATAGATTTTAAGGTTGATAAACAGAAGATAAACCTGTTAAAATTTAAACGTAAGTAATTTTTCGTGACTATGCCTACTAATTATTTCAGCTACATTATTGTATGCTTAATAATGTGACATTATCTCGACAATTTTAGCAATTTTATCACTTTTCAGCAAGCGAAGTATCACATTATCTTATCTTGAGAAACAGGACGGAGAGTGCAAATAGTAGGATTAGGTAGAAAGTCTTTAAAAATATTATATTAGTACTTAGATTATATTGTTTTTCGGCCTAGATTAGGCACGAAAAACAATCTTTAACACGGTTTAAATGATTAATTAACTACATCTCGTGTTATTTTTTGTATTATTTTTATCACTAAAATATGCTGAAAAAGCTGAAAGAAATTGTTGAAAGTATTAAACACCGTTAACGTCAAAATTATTATACTTTGTTTTTATATAAAGTAACTAGCCAAAGATTGATAAAATTAATTATACTTAGGTAAGTAATGTTACTTATTACATCATTTTTATATTCTGAGCAATGACATCATAAAGTACTTAATAATCTTGTACATACCTACTTGTATTATTAATGCGAGTAATATTTTACTTAGAATAACATAATATTTTACGTAGAGCGTTTCTGCTTATAAGGTCCTGCTATTTTTCTAAACTACGTTATTAATCACATCAAAATTCCAATGTTTACATTTCAGTAGAAACACAAATAACAATAAGATACATAAAAAATATTAAATATTTTTTGTTAAACGACTAAAAAGAGCGCGACAAAAACTAAGTTGGTAGAAGTTACGATAAATTTAATCTAACTTTCTACATATAAATTAATTAATTATTATTTTGAATAAGTAATCCATTGTAAATTAGCACTAAATAATTTCAGTAAGCAGCTCGCAGGTCGTGAATACGAAAGTTGCAAAACATGAACTTTTTTGTGACAATACATGCATTATCATAATGTTCTTGGTACAAACATACTCGTAATGACACGGTTTTAAAGTGAACAATATTGACAAAGCCTGGTTTTATTTTAAACGTGAAAAACTATCTTATTTATCCAAAAATAGATAAAAAAAGACAAACTTTCGTGTCAATTGTGCGAAAGGCATTGAAATAGGTGTAACATTGTACGAAATAGAGGCAAGGTTTTGTATTGTCAAAATTATACCAACTAAAACCCGCGAACCTTGAATTGATTGGCATCTGGTAACACAATGCAACATTAATTGGACATTTATAAAAAGGACAAGTTTAAAGTTCAAAACTGTGTAAAGAAGAAGCAAACTCAGAAGCAAACTGGAAGCAAACATTTTATTTTAACGACATGAAAGAATATACTATTGACAACTAACAAGTATTCGGCCAATGGTACAAATTCCAGGCCAGGAAGGATTTAAAAAAAAAAAAAAAAAAAAAATTAACATCCTTCTAGTTAAGGTTGACATTGTTTGTTCAACTTAATCAAACAGGGTTTACCTATTTGAAATTGAAGTAGAAATAACTTTTTTACGACTGATTACGTTAAAATTCGTTCGTGACCTGCCTATATTAATCGTTTTCCTTCTTATCGTAAAAGAAAGTCATTTATAAAAGATTAAAACAATGTTTATAATGTTGGGAAATTGGGAATGCTCAGTAATTGCGCCGTATTGATAAAAATTATTGTTTACGCTACTTCGATGATATCATTATTCTTTATAGTAATGTGGATCAATTCGAGTGTTTTTCACTCATAATAAAGCTGTTCAAATAATTACTCCTTTGAAATAATATAGCCCGTGTAACGTCGAAGTCGTAAGTTCTGGAAGGGGGTTAGACAAGGCGCTATTCTATTTTCTATAATAATTGTAGAAACTTTAAAATTTTATCGTCTACCTACTTGTGGCCTGTGTGAACTGTAAATTCGGAAAAACAAAAAATAAAGTTATGTCATGATTTGACCATAAAAATACTACTCGTATAGACGGAAGAAGAGGAATTGGCACTACGAATATTATTAAAGAATTGGCGTGGGCTAGAATGATGGCATTACTTATTTGGAAGTAAATTAAATTCACTCCCACATAGACTCAATACAAAAAACTCAACTAACCTTTGTTTTTCAACCCCAATTTCTTGCTCTCCGTTGCACGCCGGCCGGTACACCACGATGCCATGTGGCCCCACTCCCACGCACGTGCTGAGTCTGCAACCGCAGCCGCCGCCATTTTGACCCGTTGCTAGGCAACCCACGGTCGCCCCACCATCGATCTCTTGCTCATCCCTCGCCCTGGGCTCCTCAACTTGCTGCGTGTGGTAAAGCAAGTGACTGTACAGATTGTGAGCGTTATTTGTCTGCGTAACAGGCTTGCAGAAGAATAGCTCTTCTCCAAACGACTCCAAGTTCGAAATTTCCTTCAATAATCTGTACTGAGCTAGCGACGCACGCATACCAGCAATTTCACAATGATAATCTATGATCTTATTCATGTGATCATCAGGCTTCTCTCCTTGAGGTCCAATCTTCTCGCACTCCTGGTAGATGTGAACAGGAGGAGCGTCAGGGTCGCAATCCCCGGTCTCTGCTTGGGCAATGTAGGCAATAATGCGTCTCGCTACTTCCAAATCTGCCACAACAAGTCTGCCTTCAGTAAGGTCGAGTTTCGCGTGCAGGTAGAACTGGTGGCGAGTGGGTTCGTAGATGAGGAGGTGTGGGGGCACCCAGAACTTGACGCGGAGGTCGAGTCGCCCTCCAGGGGTTCGGTGGGGATCAAGGGGGTTCCGCAAGTTTAACCACCTTCCGGGGCCTGATCCCTGGCACACCCGCAGACCGAAGTAGTCGGCCTCGGCGCCAATCTCCAACTTTTCGCAGACCTGGAACAACAGAAAGAAATTTTAAAGATTTATCACAGTAACTTACACACCCTTATACACAATAACTTCAAATGCTACCTTTATTCTAATTTCCAAGCATTGCGTCATGACCAGAAACACTATCAATAACCAAACCGGTTTCGGTCGCACACGCGCAAGCGCCAGTCTTACAAACAAAGACTTTAGACCTAACTACTGTGGAGATTTTCCTTTTGTGCGTGCGACTTACCTAACTATTCTTAAAGATTAAGCGATTGTTGCGAAATATATTTTGCAACAGCAAATGATCATAACGGTGTAATGATGGGTTTCATCTATAAGTGTGTAGTATGCTCCAGGGACGGCCAAAATTGTCTAGATCAGGTTTGGCAGTGAAAGTGGTGTGGGCAACCCATTATTAATAGCCAATTTGTCTAGCCACGAATGTCGTAATGCTACGAGGATTTTGGAAATTACACATTAGAGACTGGTGGACCATTCACATTTAGGTACTCAAGAGTTTTAAGTAGTAAGTTGTATGTTACCTAGTAATTGAATATGTCTAGGATCTTCCATAGCTACAAAATTGTGAAATCCGCTCGGCAACAGGCACCTACCTATCTTCTTTTTTGACTCATGTACTTGTTATACATATACCTATGTCACGTGATTTTGTAAATTTTAGAATTGATGACGTCAAGAGTATACAAGACCTAAAGATGTTACTATGTTGCTTTGACAAAGAGTAGCTTGTACACATGTAGTACAACTGTACAAGATACATGCATAGGTGTCTCTGAAATGTAGACTCCTGCGACTGCGAGTAATGAATACCTAGTAGGCAGGTACTGGAACTGGTAGGTACATGACATGCTCCAATATCAAGCTTGCACAAAATATAGAATTATAGAACAAGGATGTATCAAATTGTCAGTTGTTTATTTAGGTGATGCACAGGCACACCAATTCATGCAATTTATTTTCTTTATTTACAGAAGATTTATTCATATTCATTAAATACTAGCTTTCCGCCCGCGGCTTCGCCCGCGTGGAATTTTGTCTGTCACAGAAAAACTTTATCGCGCGCATCCCTGTTTCAAAAACCGGGATAAAAACTATCCTATGTTCTTTCCTAGGTCTAAAGTCCGCCAATTTGAATATTACCCATATATCTTTACATTGCCTAAAATTAAAGTAACTCGTGTATCAGAAGTAATTGTTTGGCAAAAGACCTTGAAAATGCTTATTCGGGCCAGATGGTAGGTATTAAAGCAATAGTCAGGTTTTCTCGATCTGCACTAAAACATGGCGACCAATGTCACCTTCACCTCAACTGGAATTCGTTTGCTCTGCTCGCTAATACGAGTAGAATCATTAGCCAAACCGTGCTAGAAACTGCCATGGGTAAACATGGCAACGGCTTCGTTAAATATTTAGACATCATGTTCTCTTGGGATAAATAAGAGGCTTATCAAATATTTTCCGACGATGCTGGCGATTAAAGTACTTGTATCTTACTGTCTTGAAATTCAGTCGTTATAATATAAAGAGTAAAAACGTAACGTGAGATACAGGAATAAATAATGCAAAATTAACGATAGAAAACCAGGCAAGGAATGAAAAAATCGAAAAAAGGGTACACTTATTGCGCAACTGAAAGGCATATTTTTACAGATAACTGAAATAACAATACAATTAAGTAGGTACTGATACAAAAACCCGGATACATCGATTACCTGGGTCACGAATGGTCAATTCAGATTGTTCACCGTTGACGAACCACAACGTGAAGCAATGCACTCTGAATTCGTATAATCTAGACTTATGGACTTTGTATTGTTACTTTTGAATATTTATCAGTTGGTTGACGTCTATACACTATTTAGAAAAACGATATAAATTAAACATAATTGTTTTCGACGACGTAATCAGTTTAATTACTACAATAGTTTACGTTTAATTATACGTAACGAAAGTCCTTACCCAGTATCATATGTATTTTAGAGAATTATCTAAAAAAAATATTGCTTAAATGTTAATATCTCGTGTTTGTGCACGTGGTTAAGTAGTCAAAAATATTTTCAAAGATTCCCAAGAAGAACATTAGAGCATGCGAAAAATTTACAATATCACGTGAAGAATTTGCAAATACTCGTACATGTAGCTACTTTATACCTACCTAAAACAAAAAACATTTAAACCAGTATTAGGTATGTATTATCTTAACCAAACATACGGCTAAGAAGTGTATGAAACGAACTGCCTTAGTATTGTTTTGAAACACTATACTTCTGTGAGATGGGAAGCAAAGAGGTGTCATTTGATACAAAAACATAATTTCAGCTTCTGAATTTGCATTTTCGCTTGGAAAAATAAAACACACATTGAGACTGTTAAACTTTAAAAATTGTTTCAAGAAAGGCATTTACATTTTCACGAGTCATGTCATTACATTTATTCTTTGTCGAACCTAGATCGTCTTCATTTTTTTTGTCTAACTAACAACAAGAATGACCTCAAGCCTCTTTTAAGGTTTTACAAAATTGTTCTGAACACGGAATACGGCAATTTTGTCCGGTTCCCAAAACGCGTTAAGGTTTCCTGCAGATTTTCTTGGAACCATTACCCTTAATAGCTATACGTGATGAACCGTTCGGCTGGAAATCTTGATGTACAGGTTTTAACAGCTTTTTTGCGTTTGGAGTTGCTGTCACTGTTACTATGTCAGAGTCTTGAACAAACTGCCTCAAGTTCATGAAAAACCTTTTCTTCTAGACAGTCAGTTGGCAACAAAAATCAACATTTAAAAAATACTTTCAGAGCTAAATTCAATAAAGATCAAATCCATTGTTCAAGTCTTTAAATTTTGCATGTGACAATGTTTTCGCAATATTTTTTTATTTTGAGACTAAAATCACAATAGGAAATTTGAAAAACCAGTAGTTTAACATGATAAATACCTACATACATACCAACCACCTTGGAATTTGTACTATATTGCTGAAATCATTAATATTAGCAATAACATTTCCTAATAAGAAATTAAAGAATATTGAATGGAAATATTCAGTCATCACGACAATGGACCAAGAGAACGGCTTGCACTACATAGCAAGCAGGTACCACATAAGAACTAGGTAGCTGCTATTGTAAATATATTATCTTTTATTTAATTTCCAAAAAATACGTAGGAATCTATCCAGATCCTGTTTTTCCAAAAGCTACAATGACAACACCTTCCCCGCCATCTTGTCCCGCGATTTCGAAATGTCACACGTGTGCGTTTGCGCTTCCTAAGGGTTTGAGGCCATTGACCGCATGATGTCTTGATTCCATTTTGAGTCTTACCACATAGGTAATACGACGGTTTATATGACGAGTTTTGATAACACTGCGCAACAAAATATTGTAACAAGGAAGGTACAAATTAGAATAGCTAATGTACAGTCGTCAGTGAAGTACTTATTGCTTATCTTTTAGATAGGTATTTATTTCAGCCTATGCATAAAAATAACTGAAATGAGATCGAGGTCACGCCTGTTTACGCTACTGGTAAATCTATAACTGACGACGAAGATTGTTAGTTGTATAACAATGCGTAAGTACCTAACTAATATTCAATTATGAGAAACGCAATAAACTTGTTTACTTACTCAGAAAAGTAATGAAATGAATTATGAATGTACATATAAACAAAGAAACCTAACCAAGATTGAGACCTACAAAGTTATTCGAACATTAGTGAGGATATTGAAGATAATGCCGATTCACCTGCAGTTTCAACAGCTTTAAGTATTTTCTGATTTAACTTTAATGACATTATCGATGCATCTACAATGTGATCGCCTACGCCTAGCAAAACAGTGCTCAACAAAAAGCAAAATGGGAATCACAGAGAAGCAAAACACCGGGACTCTGATGTTTTCTACCCATCTCTTTCCAACACGTGCAGTTATCTTGCTCACTCCCTAAGCCATGCCGTGATCACGCGCAGGGTACATGGCACGCGAGCTCGACTAGATGGCTGACTGGTCGCGTGTATTTTCGACGAAAGGCGACTGATCGAGCGAGCAGTCGACCGAGAGATCTCCAAACAGTGAAACAGATTAACCTCGCTGCCAAATATAACCCGCTATTTGTGTGTTCATTACAATTGAGATTTACACATTAATATAAATGTCAGAAGCAATTATTCCAATTTGGAGAGACAGTCTAGATCGTATTGTAACTTAAGACGATGACGAAAGCATACATAAATATCACTTTTGGGATTGGAACAGTAACTGTTTATAGCCTTCAATCAGGTACCTACTTATAGATAAGCCATCAAAACATCGTCAGAAACTTTGTTTGAAGTTTAGGCGTTACTGTATCTAACAAATTCACCTAAAATGATCAAAACATATTTTTAGAATATTGTAGTCAGTTATACAAATTAGCAAATTTTAAGCCCCAGCATACAATTATTTACATTTCCTGAGTGGCAGGATATGTATAAATTGTACATAGAAATCTACGAGCTTTTCTACGAGAATCTAGAACCTCTAGCCTAGAAGCCGGAGAACGTACTGTGACAAAACCTGTTGAAACCTAGCTTCTTATGTCATCATCATCATCATCAACAGCCCTTTACAGTCCACTGCTGGACTATGAGCCTCCTCCACTATAGTAAAGGGTTTTGCCATAATCCCCACGCTTGGCAGGCGGGTTGGAGATCGCAGTTTAAAAGATTTATGTCTGTCAGAGAGCGCTGCTGCCCGTTCTCTGTTTGATGTGTAGTCCCTAAGTCGCCTCTTACGACACCCGCGGGAAGAGTAGGGGTTGGTGACAAATGTATTCTACTCTGCCGTCACCACACGGCCGCAGCTTCTTATGTAAGCACCTAATATACACTGATGGTAATTTTGATACAGCAATGAATCTTAGAAAAGTTAATTTCTAAAAATCTTTCTGAATGTAGGTGAGTAGAGAGTGAAATACATATAATATCCAAAATTTTGAAATCCTCACATGGAAATGGA